ATTTACCAGGAGCCCTGTTTTATTATGCCAGCATAGTTTAAATACTTATTTGATTTGTAAGTCCAAACAGTATCTGTGTTTCAGTTTCCATTAGAGGTGTATTAAAGATTAAAAAAAAAAAACCTGTCCACTAATATGTATCAAAATTTGAAATGCACTTACCTTCAGGATCAACAATTCCACTTTAAGAATTAATCCTACAGATTTACTTCCCCATGTATACAAAAACATGCACAAGATTAAGTATGAGTACTCTAGCCTTATTTGTAATAGCAAAAGGGTGGAAACAAGTTCAATGTTCCATTAATCATGGTTCATAATACAATGGAATGATATGCAGCCATAAAAAAAAGAGGAAGGTAGATCTACATGTGCTTCCTATATTGTATGGTCTTGGTTATGCAAAGTAAGGGATAAATGTGCTTATATAGATACAGAGGATAGTTCTAGAAAGGATTCACAAAAACTGCTAACAGTTTCCTTTGGGAAATGGGGCTGAGTGAAAAAAATGGATTTACTTTTTAGTACTATATTCTTTTGTACCTTTTGGATTTTATGCCACAACCATTTATTACTTTTTCTATTAAAAGTGTGGCATTAAAGTGTTTTGATAACATCAATCAAGACCCTAATAGTAATCATTTTATTAATCTGTAAATGACTCTAGTTAACAGATGATATATATGTACTCCTGAGAAGTGACAAGCTACCGAAGTCTCTTTACCTCCTTATCTCAATGTTTTCCCCTCAGAAACCCCAATACCAAAGTCAAGAAAGCAACAGCAGGCATCAACATTTCTGTTCTTGCTACCATATGCCAGATAAAATTCAATAATGGAAAAAAAAAAAAAGTAGGTAATAAGATCCAATAATACATTGTATAACGTAGATACTTAAAGGGATTTGTTTAAGGGGATATAATTTCATATGACTAGTGTTACAACCAACTGCAAAATAGCATGTATTAATGAACCTTTTGGCTAAATTCTTAGATGATACCAAAATCTTTTACTATAGGGCAAAGGTTACTGAGACAATTCAATAGCTGGAAGGGACTTGAGACGTTATCCTAAAAGCTAGGAAAATGAGGCTCATAAAAGTGAAACAACTTTCCTGCAGTCACTCAGTCAAAAGGCAGAAGCAGCTTATAACAGAGAGCAGGGGGGCCGGCCAGGTGGCGCAAGCGGTTAAGTGCGTGCACTCCGCTGCGGCGGCCCAGGGTTCGCTGGTTCGGATCCCGGGCGCGCACCGACGCACTGCTTGGCAAGCCATGCTGTGGCGGCGTCCCATATAAAGTGGAGGAAGATGGGCACAGATGTTAGCCCAGGGCCGTCTTCCTCAGCAAAAAAAGAGGAGGATTGGCGGATGTTAGCACAGGGCTGATCTCCTCACACACACACACACACACACACAAAAAAGGCAGAGCAGGAACTTGAACCAGATTTCTGACTCCAGTGACCTGCCCAAGACTCAAACTAAGGCTCAAACCTAGGTCCACTGTACCCCAACCACGTGCCACACTGCCTATAGCATCAGGTGAACAATTCTTTGGAAAAAAACTAGCTATCAGTGGCTGACTGGCCACTTGGCATTGACTGGCCTCGCTGGAGGTCTAACCAAGTGAAACTGGTTCAGTTTCCAGCCTGAGCAGAAACTATCCACCCCAATGTGTACATTTAACATACCATATTGTTGACACTAACCATCAGAATTTGGGCTCAAAGAGGTGGATCAAATTTAAGTCAAATGCTAGTACTGCAGATTCCAGCAAGTTTATGGTAAAAAGGTGAACTGGTTGATAAAATTGAATTTACCATGCTAATTTTAATTTCCTCCTAGGTAATGGTACCTCTGTGAAATAGACAAATTTTAATTGAGACTCAAAGACTGACCTGCCCAAGTGCTTACAGCCAGTATGTAATAGAACCTGGGTTTGACTGACTTCTGTTGACTCCAAATCCTTCACGCCTCTGTTGCTTCCACCCCAAACTTGTTTTGCCCTCACTGGTGCCCAAGTCGGTGAAAGCCCGTTTCACAAGATAAAACTGCAAGGTAGAACTGTCTGAAACAGCAGTTGCTAGTGTATTTTCTAGCCTAGCTCCTAAGAAACCTGCTCTTTTACAAGTTTCAGAGCTGCTCAGCTCTACGAAAAATGTTTGACCTTCAGCTAAGATGATGACTTTGTTTCTAGCTGAATCAAAGACATCTGACTACATGACACAGTACCTGCTGCTAAGCCTTAGGAAAATTATTTAGAGAAGCGGTTACTTCCTGCACCTACTTTTCCTCGCAATTAGCAAGCAGAGTGCTCTCAAACAGCAATTTTCACCTTCACAAACCTATCATTTTCTTGTCTAAGCTCAAAGAAGTCTATTTTCACCTTTCAGTCTCAAAGTAAAAAAAAAAAATGTTAACACTCTGACTACTATCAAAGATCAACACAGCCAGATATCAGTTAAAGCAGTGAAAACAGATTTTATTCAATAACCACTGACCGCAGGGCAAAGAGCTGAGCTCCATTCTGATTTGTGCAGAGGTGACTTGGTGTTTTAAAGGAAGAATGAGGGAGGGGGGTGAGAGGGGACTCAGGTAGAGTCAGAGAAGTGAAAATCACACAGGGTTGGTCAGTGGAAATGTGATTAGGCCAGCTGTGTCTGCTAGCTGGCAATTAGGGAAGTTAGGATTCTATCCCTCCACAGAGACTGGGAGACAGAGGCCGTATCCCTCCTGATGATTACATCTCAAAGAAATGGTTTTCAGGTCCTTGAGAAAGACACTTCTAAGTTGGAGAGATATATACATCTCAAAGGAGAAGGAAGGATTCATAACGGTAAGCCCTTTTTAGTAAGTGCCTTAAGAATGGGAGGTCAGGGACCTACTGTCAGGTGTTGGATAGAACAAACAAAATTTTCCAGGCAGCCATGAGCTTTCTCCGGCAGGCATTTTAACGGGGCCTGGGGTCATCCTAGGAGCACAGCCTCAGGCTGCTAGAAGCCACGCTAGAGTGTGGTGGACTTGCAGTGCAGAGGTTTGGACGGAGTCAGAGTCATTAAGTGCTGGGAGGTCTGCAGTTCCTACTACCCCAGAGTAGTCCTGTTCCTTATCCATTTCACAGGCATTGCCTCTCCCCACATCGACCGGCGTCCCGCCAAGTACAAACAGCTATTAGAAAATCAGTAGGTGAAGTTAAAAAAGAAACAAACAAAAACCCCTTCACTTCATTACCAGCTGTAGCCACCCAGGCAGAGACAAAAATCTAGGTTTGGGGTTTGAATATAACTTTTATTTTAAGTGCCCTCAGATTCTCTGAGAAAACGGTCAGGATGAAGACAAACAACAGAAACCCCGAAAGCGACAGGACCACGATCAGAAGATCTAAATGTCAGAGCCAAAACTGATTTTCCGCTCCTCACTGAAAAAAAGAAGAGGAAGAGGAGGAGAGGGCAAATAGGAACATTCTTTACTTTCCACACGTTGTCAGGCACATTTGAGAAAACTTCAAAATTTTCTTTACGAACTGGCCAAACACCTACGGCGCTATGCTATTTCTCCTGCCAAAGAATTCAGGTCAAAAGAGAAAGATTCCAAGGCACGGATTCGTTCAAAGAACATTTTTTGTGCACTTTCTATGGATTAATAATCAAGACCTCATCCTGGCGAGAGCTCACAGTCCAGTGGGAAACATATGTAAATAAATACCACTTTTCAACGTGTTCAGAGGTCTGAACAAGGTGCAATGATGACAGAGCAAAAGGAGTCCCTCAGAAAATCGGGACATCTTCCCGCCGCAGGTGACATTTCACAAGATCTTGGAAAATGAGTAAGGGGATCCACGATCGAATCTAACGAGCACGCTGGGGCGATTCGATTCAATTCAATTCGCAATCAGAAGGTTCTCCTATACGCTTCCGACCGCAGTAAACTTCCCTTCTCAGAGCATTTATCAAATCTCGTTGATTGTCCATCTCTCCGCTGAACTGTGAGCTCTGTGGGCAGGAGTGGCGACGATCCATAGTTACATAAATCCAGTGCCCGGCTCAACAAGGGAGTGTGGAAGGAACGGCTCGATTAGAGTCAAGTCAGCGGACCTCCACAAAAGCCAGCAGGCCGGGCGCCCGCTCCCACGGGCCGGGGTCGCTCTGTCCAGGCTGGTTCACTCAGGAACGTGTGAGGGGGCCGTCATGAAGCCTCGCCCCGGACTCACGAAAAGGGACTGGGGAGAGCTCAGGGTCGGCCCAGGAAACAGGGACCCTGCTGGTCCAGGGCATGGAGGGACCGCGGCTCCGGGCAGGCGTCCCTGAACCTGTGAGGGCTGCTCGTCCCATTCTTTTACTTACATTCGTGACGGAAAGATTTCAATTCGGTCTTTGCCCGACATTCTGACGATGATCGTGCGGCTCGGTCCCCGGCCGGGCTAGAGTGGCTGCAACAGCCCCAGCCACAGCGTCTTCCTCTACCGGAGTCAGCTGGCTGTGTCACTTGACCCGCCTCTCGTTGCTAAGAGGCAGCCCGCACACCCATTCTTCACTTCCGCTTCCTGTCGGCACGGTGTGCGGCGGAGAGGAGGCGAGGGGAAGGAGGAAGGCGATGCCCGGATGTTGAGGCGCGCGCACCACGGAACCGCCTCTCAATTCCGGTTCGCCTTCTAGCCCCTCCCCCTTCAGCTCCCAGGCGGCTGCGCAAGACTCTGCACGCGCGGGGCGAAAGAACAGGAGAGAGGAGTACACTCCTTCTCTGCCTCCACTTTTCGTGTCTGGTCACAGCGCCACCTCATGGTTGACTGAAACTTTGAAAGAGGATACATTCGTCAGGGACAAGGAATCAGAATGTGCTTCTTCCCCGCGCCTTGAAGGTTACTTAGTGAAAACTAAAGACAACGAGAAAACGTACTTTTCAGGTCCTCTTATGACCCACCTTCTTCCTCGTTCTCGGAGGACCTGGACTCTATGGTCAGTGACAAAGAGGGGCCGGTATTCTCTCGGCGCACGCGTGCTGCGAGGTTGTTCCGCATGCGCGGTGGGGTTGAGAGAAGCGCACGCTGAGGATCGGCGGTCGCTGCGGGTGGATCAAGTCTGATCTCTCCGATTAAAGAGCGTGGCGCGGGACCCCAGTGCGGGAATCACACACATACCTCAGGTGACTAGTCCCCGGGATCGGTGTCTCCAAGAACTCACTTTGGTTGTGTCCGGTGACAGGGGTGGTCGAGAGAGGGTAGGCCCCGGGCTAACACTCCTTCCCTTTCCCGTCCCTGCGCGGGAAGTGTCTGGACACTTCGGCCGCCACCCGCCGGCTGTGCGTGGGCCTCCTCGCCGGCTCCGTGGCGGTCTTCGCCTGTTGCCGTGGTGTCATTGTACAAGCGGAGGGATCTCGTGAAGGAAAGTGGGCCAGGTGGCTGTACAGCTTCTTCAGTGTGCTTATAGCGAGGATGGTTGAGGTGGGGCGGCCCCGGAGAGCGCTGTCACACCTCGCCCCTTCAATTTTAACAATTGAAGCTCATATTACCTTCTCTCTCGAGTTGTGCATTTCTGTAGAATGAGTCACTCTTTGAGTTGAAACTGAAACATAACTATTGAAGAGTCTATTACTCTTAGTATCGGTTTGCCGTGTTCAGCCCCGATGAGAATAGAGTTGTAGAATTACACGCTGTGGTCTTAGAGTTAAGCGTAACTAAAAACATAAGATAAGAGAATTTTAGGTTTAAGTATGTATTTAGCTTGAGGTCCCTTTTATTATCCCCCAAATTTAGGCTACTTTAATTTTCATTAAATAAGAAACATTGTTTCTTGGAAAAAAAGGTGTAGCAGAGAAGTCTGGGTTTCCCCCCCCCCCCCGACTGAATGTTATTCGAGGGGAGAAATCTGTAACTGTGTGTTTTTCAACAGTTGGAGAATTATTTATATAGAGCTTTACTGCCTATTCTCAGTTCATCTGATGCCAAATGACAGTTACTGATTGTCAAAAGACCTCAAAAAGAAGCACAATAATGTTTGTAGAGATGGGTGCTTTTTCTTTCAACTACAATGAAATAGATCAAAAACTTTGTGTAGCACTCCTGACTGAAAGGTAGCGTTCAGAGAGTGTAACTGGTAAGTGCTAGAGCTGAATTAGAATTAGCACAAGCGTTTTCTCTCTCACTTAAAACACTTTCCTTTGGAAAGGAATGTAGACTTCCTGTGTCCATTATGGTGACCTGACCATGCACTGGTTTAAGCAAGGAGTCCTAGCCACCGTTTCCCCGGCAAAATCACTGCCAGTGCAGGGTATTTGAAATTAGCTTGAAGTTCAGTTAGTATGTTTTGACAGATGGATATTCTTTACCAAAGAACACGTACCATGTTGTAGTACTGTAACATTGAGGCTTTGTGGGTTAAAGACACTCTGGATTTAATGTCAAAGGACTTGGTTTTAGCTCCTGTTCTAGTACTTATTAAGCCTCTGTCCTTGAGGAAGTCATTTAATATGTCTTTTTTTTGGTTCCCTGTTAATTGATTGCTTCACAGGGCTTGTTTCATGGTACCTTATATTGCAATTATTTGCTTCCTAGTTTGTTTCCCACTCTATACTTCAATTCTTTAGGTAAGAGTCGTAATTGTTGTATCAGTAGTGCTTAGTGTATAGTAGATACTGCAAAAATAATTGTTTAATAAATTGTTACAAAATGGAAATAACACCTCCTTTGCCTTTTAATATCTTATATTTGTATAGCACATTACACTTTTCAAAATGTTTTTACATATATTTTGTTTCATTTGATACTCTCCACAAATCTGTGAGGTATATGGCACAAACTAGAAACTAAAGTTCAGTGGGAATACAGTTCCAAGCAACCACAGCCAGTAAGTAGGAGAGCAAGGACTGGAACCCACCTCTAGAGCTATTCCCGAAGTTCACTGTGCTACTTGCCTGACTTGAGGGCTTATTGAGGGCCAAATAAAAGAAGTCAGAGTGCTTTGAAAATTATATAAAGATTGATAGACATCTGGTGTGTGGCTTCGATTTTCCTGACTGACTTTTTAAAAGTTAGTGTTATTATTAGCAGAAATGAGATAATGTTCAAACTGTATCAACCAACATGCAGGTTCTTTGTGAAATGGATTCTTTTTGTCCTTAGCTACTTTCTGTCTTTATTGTGAGTAACATACCATCAGCAGTATTCCCTTATTTACCCTGTATGTTGCAAAGAGACTTGTACCTCCTAAAGCAGAAGCATTCCTATCTCCCTTCAGGATTCTTTTACACTATTGCCTATGGTCTTCAACCATCAAATTAAGCATTTCTTCCCCCAAATTATCAGCTTTACTATTTGAAGAAACTTGGTAAGTAAACGTGGTTAGTACCTGTTAAATCTTTTAAAACTGTTTCACACATTTCCATGACATCATCTATTTTGATACCCAGTTTGAAACTTTTGTCGCTTTCAAATTTTAGTGCTTTACACACAGATATTTGACAACAGTTGTCCAAAAAAAAAGCCCTGTTTTTTCTTTTTTTTTGAATGGAACAGCCAGCTCAGCTGTTTCTTGGTGGGTAATTCTGGCCGTTGAATGTCTACTTCCCTTTATTTGCTAAATCCCTATTTTGTCAAGCTACAAGAGAAATACATCTCTGCCACTATTATTAATATGCTTCTTTATTTTGTGTTAAACAGGCTAGATTAATACCAGAAGTTTGCACTAATCTGTGGTATATGCTCCAGCACTAAATATATATATTAATGTTGCTTTTTAAGATGTTTCTAATTGTAATATATTTATCAATAATATTGAGAGAAAATATAGCCTGATGAATAAGAGGACAGACTATGGATCCAGACTTCATAGATTCAAATGCTGACTATCACTTGTTAGCAGTATATGACAGAACAAGTTGCTTAACTTGTGCTTCAGTTGCTCCATCTATAAAATGAAGAGAACTAGGAGGGGAAGTGGTACCTGAGGGAGATGGGCAGTGGCCAGATGATATCCGACCCTGTAGGTACTAGAAAGATGTATAAATCAATGGAAAGCCACTGGGAAGATACATGTAGGTCTAGTTAGCCGTTCTCAAACTGCACTGCAGCAGAACTCTGGTGTTCTATGAGCTGGTTGTGGATGTTCTGTCTTAAGATCAAGTAATGGCAGCCTTATTTCCCAATTAAAAAAATAAGTTATAAGTTTTCACAAATGTTTCGTAGGTCTTTAGGCCCTATTACTGCCTATCTTCTGAGCTTTGACAACAGTAAATTGATTAAGTTTAGCAGAAAAACATGAAAATCATCAACTATGATTAATTTGAGAGCTTCCTTTTAAAAATATCCATCTACTCGTGTTATGATTTCAGGCTTATGGGTCATAAAAGGAATGATGCTGAAAGTAGGCTGGGTGGATCAAAGGGCATAGTTTTAAATATATTTAATGCTTGGAAGTTAAGAGAAACTTAAACTTTACAGAATGCAGATCTATAAAGCTATTCTCAAGATTGGGTATACCTGTTCAACAAAAGAGAAGACTATTTGGGAGTAATGGGAAAAGTAGAAGCTGGAAATTATATGGTAATGATGAATTAAATTGGAGTTTGTTTTAAGAGGAAAAAAATTTGGAGAGGAGGATACATTTTAGTTTAATATCTTTCGTGATTAATAAATTTTTATTTTTTGTCTTGACATGTGATATTATAATTTTGGCTATGATAAATGATAGGGTATATCATTTGATATATGGTTAAAGTTAGGAATTAAGTAGTCAGAAGATTCTTCCCTTTATGCAGTGGACAGTAGCATATACAATCGTAGCTGACTTGGAGAAAGAGTAGATTTAGTTTTTGGCTGATAGGTTTATAATAACAATGATGCTTCCCGTCATTTGTTATTTCTTAAAATGGTAATGTTAAAATAGTATTTTACTCTTGAGGTCTACCTTTAATCCTTAGGTCTCAGAGTACATTATAGATGGTCATTATTTTTTATGATACCTCTGAAACTGATGACAGAGAATCACCCAAGCCTTACAAAAATTTGGAGCAAAGTAAAAATTAAAGCTTGGTTCCTGGACGTCCATCTGTTTTCTGGTATCACATAAGAAGTTTAAAGAGATAAGAAGACTAGTAACTTCTTCCACTGGCAAGATGTGGAAAATTGACTGACATTTCTTTATTTTGACCTTAACTGAACACTTACTTGATTCTTTTGTTTAAATTGCAGAATGCCGGGTCTAAGTTGTAGATTTTATCAACACAAATTTCCTGAGGTGGAAGATGTAGTGATGGTGAACGTAAGGTCCATTGCTGAAATGGGGGCTTACGTCAGCTTGCTGGAATACAACAATATCGAAGGCATGATTCTTCTTAGTGAGTTGTCCAGAAGGCGTATCCGTTCTATAAACAAACTCATCCGAATTGGCAGAAATGAATGTGTGGTTGTTATTAGAGTGGACAAAGAAAAAGGTAAGTGAGATAAATATCTAAAATACAAATTTCAGATTTAAAATGGTTTATTTTAAAATATATTTTTTATAAATTGCCTACTGCAGTAAAAAAAAAGAACAAAACATCTCCTTTTATGCTTAAACTCTTTTACATACAAAGTTGATAGAGAAGGATGCCAATTAGCCATCTAAATAAGACCTCTTAAGTTAGTAGTGGTTTAATTAGTACATCCTAGGGCTGGTTTTTGTGAGTCAGATAACTTGAATTTTATTCCCAGAGATTATCAGATTTTATTTTATTTTATTTTTATTTTTCCCCCAAAGCCCTAGTAGATAGTTGTATGTCATAGCTGCACATCCTTCTAGTTGCTGCATGTGGGACGCGGACTCAGCATGGCCGGAGAAGCGGTGTGTCGGTGCACGCCCGGGATCCGAACCCCGGGCCGCCAGCAGCAGAGCACGCGCACTTAACCGCTAAGCCAGGGGGCTGGCCTGAGATTATCAGGATCTTGATCATTGACTTCTTGTTGCCAAACTCAGAAGACACAGATAAATAAACTAGAGTACTAGTTCATTCATATTTGTCAGATGCCTTTTTATTGATTTAAAGCTAAATTAGTAATTAGATTATTGGATGAGTGTGGAAATGGGGCAAAGGTAAATGGATTTTAGAAATATTTTATATAAGCTTTGAAAAAGCAATATACTGCAAACACATACCCAAAACTCAATATTTTTTTTAAATAGCTTTATTAAAGTATAATTTAGGGGCGGCCCTGTGGCTTAGCGGTTAAGTGCGCGAGCTCCGCTGCTGGCAGCCCAGGTTTGGATCCCGGGTGCGCACCGACACACTGCTTCTCCAGCCATGCTGAGGCCGTGTCCCACACACAGCAACTAAGAAGGATGTGCAGCTATGACATACAACTATCTACTGGGGCTTTGGGGGAATAAATAAATAAATAAAAATTAAAAAATAAATAAAATAAAACACAATTTGGTGGTTTAAAAAAAAAAAGTATAATTTATATAACATAAAATTCACCCAATTTAATTGTTCAACCAAAACCCAGTATTATATGTCTCTCTCGTAATCAGAATGTCTGTGACCCCCCCAGATCCTATGGGATCTTTCAGACAGTGCTGAATGAGTATTTTTTACTTGTTGGGTACCTTATTTCTGGGTTCTGTGTAAATCTTCATGTTTGTTAACACATTTTTTTCTAAACACAGTGAACAATACCATTAAGTTTTGGGTTCAACTGGCATATTATAGTTAAGATCACTGGTTTCAATCATCTCACTGTAATTTATTGGGTGTTAGTTTAGGTAAGTAGTTACCATCATGCTTAAAAGACCAATCAGTCACCCTGATTGAACTTGTCTCTCTGAATCTCCTCAGCTATCTAGTTAATTGATACTTCTGTAAGTGATTAATTTTATACATAACTGACATTTTATTTTTCTGATTATAATCTTAGATGATAAACTTTGGAGACATCTTATGTTATCCCTTAGTAGTGACTACCATTTAGCACATTGATTATTCTAAATGTTTTAGATATGGCTTACTTGTAGCCCCCCCTATTGTTAAACTGCTTGAAGACTGAAACTATTATTTAAACTTGTGTAAGTCTTCATATTACTGTCCTAGGAGGACCTAGAATGGTGTCTTACCCTGTATTTTCTATTATATAAAATATATACACAAGAAGGAATCACATATATTTTCAACTGCAATCAGAAAAAATGAAAAGGTATACTTGCGTAAGTATAATAGATACATGTAAAATATTTCCATAACAGCATTGTTTGTACAGTATTAAGTAAAAACAGTAAACAAAAGTCAAAATCGTGGTTAAATAAATCATGATGCATCCATGCAATTTTACAGAGAGTGATATCTGAATATTTTGATATGGAAAAATCTCCAGAGCACGATAAGAAAAAAAACAAAGTACAGAAGATCCTATAGAGGGGATCCATTTCTGCATTTTTGATACTAGAAGATTAGGTCCTGTTGGACAAACTTTTCAACACAGTAGCTATAAACCCTGAACAAACGTAAAAAAAAAACCTCCTGAAGACAATGGGAACAACCAAAAGCAGCCAAAACTGAAGGCAAGTCGACACTTGGAAGAAAGGAACTGCACTAGATAAATTTTACAGCTTTTTGTCTGAGCACATGCTATAGGTAGCTTCAAGTGGGGCAGCTAAAATTCTAGTGGAAACCTGCAGTCTTAATGGCTTGAGAACCAGAGATGAGAGTTCTGGAAAACCACAGCAGTTGGAAAGTATTGATAGAGATTAGGGAAGGGAGAGACACAGAGGGAGAGCCCCTAAGCTTGTGTATAAATTCTGCTCAAATCTCTGACTGACCCATGAACTACTAATATACAGAGTGGACTACAAGCAGCCCAACATCATAAAAATCGAAACAGATTTCGGTTGCTTTCCACCTGGGGAGACAGAGCTTAAATCCAAAGAAGTTTAACTGCCTGCTAAAACAAAAAATCAGTATCCTTAGAGGAACATAAAGGAATTCAGAGTCTCTGCCACATATCATTCAAAATATGCAGGATAGGGGCCGGCCCGGTGGCTTAGCGGTTGAGTGCGCGTGCTCCGCAGCAGTGGCCCGGGTTCGGATCCCGGGCGTGCACCAACGCACGGCTTCTCTGGCCATGCTGTGGCCGCGTCCCACGTACAGCAACTAGAAGGATGTGCATCTATGACATACTGGGGCTTTGGGGGGGAAAAAAATTTAAAAAACAAAAAAAAACAAAATATGCAGGATACAATCCAAAATTGCTAACCATTCAAAGAAACAGGAAAATATGACCCATACAGAAGAGAAAAAGCAAGCAGTGGAGACTGACCTTGAGATGACCCGGATGTTGGAATTTGCAGATAAGGATTTTAAAGCAGATGTTATAACTGCTCAAGGATATTATGAAAAAATGCTTGTAATGAATGAACAAAATGAAATCCCAGTAAAGAAATTAGAGACTCTCACAAAGAACTAAAAATAAATTCTAGAAATGAAATGTGTAATATCTAAAAAATTCACTGGATGAGCTAATAGATGAAAGATGACAGAAGGCTGAGTGAAACTTGAAGATCGTTCATTACAAAGGAACCAATTTGAAGAATGCGGGGGGGAAAGAGCAACCTATCGAGTATCGGAGGCTCTATTCCAAAATAAGAGGAGAAAGATAAAGGGCAGAAAATATATTTGAATAAATCATAGCCAAAAGTTTCCCATATTTGCTGAAAAAACATAAATTTACAAATTGGAGAAGCTTAGCAAACCTCAAACAGAATAAATATTAATAAGACCACATTTAGGCACATCAAATTATTGAAAAACAGAGATGAAGAGAAAATCTTGAAAGTAGCTAGAGGCAAATGACACATTATTTACAGAGGAACAGTAATATAAATTACTCTGGCATTCTTATTGGAAATAATGGAGGTCAGAGCATTGAATGACATTTTTAAAGTGCTGAAAGAAAAAAATTGTCAAACCAGAATTCTGTATGTAAAGAAAATATTCAACAATGAAGACCAAAATGAAGACATTTTTCAGGTAAATAAAAACTAAGAGGTGTTATTACCAAATAGACCTGCATTATAAGAAATGGTAAAGGAAATTGTTCAGGGCAAAGAGATGTGATGCCTGAAATGGAAAAGATATAGGTAAATGTAAAACACCATTTTTTTCCTATTAAATTCTTTAAAATACATTTAACTGCTTGTCTTGTTTTGTACCCAGGAGATTTTAATTTAGGGAGGTGACTAACAACATGGAGAGGCCAATGCCATTGAAAGATTTTTATTACTTAAGTTTCCCAAGAGATGGGGACATGCCAAGTGATGCAGGGCCACATGAGGAAGCACCAGTTTTGGTCAGAAGGTGGAAGGAGTGAGGGGAATGCCTAGACCAGAGCCTTTATTAAAGTTTCCACAGGAGAGGCAAGGCAGGTCAGGGTAAACAGTTTAGGGTTGGCTAGTTGGAATAGTTTTGGCAGGCCTTGGTGCATCAGAGCTGTCCCGAGTTGTCTGGTGCCTGCCGCTGGGTTGATCAAGGGCAAGGGGAATAGTCGTTTGGTGTGTGAGATTTTGATTAGGAGATGGTAGAGGGTGTGGGCTCTGGATTGCTTAGTTTGCATGTGAAAGGCTGCTCCTGGTGAGCCCTTTGCCATCTCTAAGAATTGCCTAGCCCTGGGAGGGGGAGTCTCTGCCCAGTCAGCCAGACCACAAATGTCAGAGCATCACGAATACAGAAAATATAGTTAATACAATTGACCCTGTGATGAATGGATGCCAAACAGACAAATACAGAATCTTTTGGTTAGCTTTCATTTGGATAATTGAAAATTATTAGTTCCCCCCACGAAGGTAATAGGGAGTATAAAATGACATGATGATAAAAATGCATTTCTGAGAACAAAAATCTCTTATACTTCTTATGCAGTGTTTTGTTGATATGATTTTAGTGGGGACTAGGTGTAGGTATGCCAACCAAACAATCTGATTGTGAAAATTTGTCACAGTGGTATTTGTCACAGTGGTATGCTGATACCTGGACAGAGATAAGTTTTTTCAAAATTTTCTCATACAGGGTATATTGATTTGTCAAAAAGAAGAGTTTCTCCAGAGGAAGCAATCAAATGTGAAGATAAGTTCACCAAATCCAAAACTGTAAGTTCATTTTTGACTCAAATTAATCCACTATTTGATGGGTTTAATAAACAATCAGCATGTGATGTTCCTGGCAGAAAAATAAAAAACAAAACATGTTTACTGTAACTCTGTATTTCTGTTTCCAGTTATGTGTTACGTAGAAAAATAATTTGAAGACTTAATTTCAAAAGAATATGACTACAGTGTTTTTGTCTCGTGGTGTTACTATCTTAAAGCATTGCTTATGATCTGATATTCTCAAATCAGTACTGGACGTTAGTGTTTTTAAGCTGTTTTAGGTTAAATTAACTATGGGTGATTTCAGCTGATTTGGCTTGTCATAACACGTAGTTAACATGTAGTTCATGGGCCGGCTCCGTGGCTTAGCGGTTAAGTGCGCGCGCTCCGCTACTGGCAGCCTGGGTTCGGATCCCGGGCGCGCACCGACGCACCACTTCTCCGGCCATGCTGAGGTTGTGTCCCACGTACAGCAACTGGAAGGATGTGCAACTGTGACATACAGCTGTCTACTGGGGCTTTGGGGGAAAAATAAATAAATAAAATTATAAAAAAAGAAAAAAAAAACAAAAACATGTAGTTCTTGACTTTCAATCCTGTTCTGGGATAAAGGTCACAGAGACAACCACCTGTTGTATGTTAAGAGTGAGCAAGGGTTTATAAAAAGTCTGTGAATCTAGGAAAGCAAGGCAGGGGCCAGTTACTAGTTTGGGGGTTTTTTCCCCTAGTTTGTTGGGGTTATTTCTTTTTCCTTTTCTTATTATTTTTGCTGTAATTTCCTACTTATCCACAGTAAGCACTGATAAAGCAAGAAAAGCCATTTCTTCATTCTTCATCTTCTGTGTGTATTTTTCTGTTCTCTGGTCCTTTTTAGATTATCCTTCATTCCCTGGATCCTCAGTTCTTTTTTTTTTTTTTTTTTTTTTTGGTGAGGAAGATTGGCCCTGAGCTAACATCTGCCAATCCTCCTCTTTTTTTGCTGAGGAAGACTTGCCCTGGGCTAACATCCATGCCCATCTTCCTCTACTTTATATGGGACGCCGTCACAGCATGCTTGACAAGCGGTGCGTCGGTGCATGCCCGGGATTCGAACCGGCGAACTTCAGGCCGCAGCAGTGGAGCGCGTGCGCTTAACCGCTTGCGCCACTGGTCTGGCCCCCATCCTTGGTTCTTAATGGCACTATTTCTGTTGTTTCTGTTTTCTTTGCCCTTCTCTTGTGTCTTTTGTTGTCTTCTGCCATGTGTGTTTCTGTCCTCAAGATAAAATGCCAAGAAAACAATGTTTAAATGAAGGGAAGATTTTTAAAATTTTTCTTAACCCCAGTAAGAGAGAGAATAAAAATATAAAAGCCATCAGACCATTACCCAAATCTTTCCCTTTGTTTCATTGATGTGTTTGCTATTACTGCAGTGTGGTTTGCACATTCGAAAACACTGTCAGTAAAATCCCATTTCAATAAACTCTAGGACCTTGCCACTCAGAATGTAGTCTCTGGACCACTAGCATTTGCATCACCTGACTGCTTATTAGAAATGCAGGATCTCAAGTCCCACCAAGTTTGAGAATCCAAATTTGAGAAGCACTGCTCTAGGAAACTTCCATTTTGTCTTGTCTTCCTAGAATATTGTAAAATAGGTATGTTAGTAGATCTTCTCATCCTGATAAGATGGTAGAATGAAGTAGCCAATGTTAGTAGTTTTCCTCAGGTAATTTTCATGTGTAATTAACATGAAAACCTCCTTTCTTACACTCTTTCTCTTCGTTAAGCCCTTTTATTTTTAGGAGATTAGAAGAAGTTTGGCAGCAGTGGGTAGGAGGTGATTAGAATTGAAGGATAACTGTTAAATGATAACAGACCAAAAGAAATACTAAAATCTCAATCCTGGTACTATGCTCTCCTATGGAGTAGTAGTAATAATAGCTTACATTTGTATAATACATTTGTATAATATTTTCCGTTTATAGTGTGTATTTGTATATATTTGATCTATGTAAGAGCTCTCTGCAATAAAAAGGAGAGATACTAGTATCTCCCTTTTCCAGATGAGGAAAGAAATTCAGAGGTTAATTTGTCCCAGAGTTGACCTGATCTGGGTCTTGGGATGCTAAATTCCGTACTGTTTCTACTTGTTATACCCACTTGAGTTAATTATGGGACAGCAAATATTTCTATATGGAGAAAGTATTTGTTGTGTGGCGATCTTTTATTGTTAAGGAATTATTGTGATCAAATTAACCAAAGGTTTGTTTTTATATGCTGTCTACTGAAATGTAAAAATATCTAGTTTTTTGGGCCAGCCCCATGGCATAGTGGTTAAGTTTGGCATGCTCCACTTCGGCAGCCCGGGTTTGTGGGTTAGGAACCTGGGCATGGATCTACACCACTTGTCAGCCATGTTGTGGTTGCCACCCACATACAAAATAGAGGAAGATTGGCACAGATGTTAGCTCAGGGCAAATCTTCCTCAGCAAAGAAAAAAAAATCTAGTTTTTTTATAGACCTCTTCCCTTTGAGTTGTTGAGCTCTTCCTTTTGTGTCTAGGTTTACAGCATTCTTCGTCATGTTGCTGAGGTGTTAGAGTACACCAAGGACGAACAGCTGGAAAGCCTGTTCCAAAGGACTGCCTGGGTCTTTGATGACAAGTACAAGAGACCCGGATATGGTGCCTATGATGCATTTAAGCATGCAGTCTCGTAAGAACACCTTCTTGGCTCTGCTTCTACCTTGATATCACAGCTGCTGGGTCTAGCACACAGGTTGAGAGCCTGACATTTAATAGTACAACATCTGTGTATTAAGTCCTTGCCAAATTTAGGTTAAAATATTTCTGTGTAAAAGGCCCATAATGTGGGGCCAATCCTATATAGCCAAGCCTATGTAATTTTGTATACCATAGTTACATAAACCATGTGTTTTCATCTCACACTACTCCCTTACATATTTTCCTCTCCTGGTTTTGTTATTGCATTAGGTGACTTCAGGACAAATAGATGTCTCATTTAAAACCGTAATCTCTTGTTTTCTATACCTCAGTTCCTTAGACCTTCAGCCCACCCACTTTAGCCAGTCTTCCATATGGCCTCACCCTGGTCTGACTATCACCAGGATTCGCTCTGCCTCCAAAACATTTAATTCACACATTCTGTTCTTTTACCACAGCTTCCAGTCCTTCCAGCTCCCACATAGTTGGTCCTACTCTGTGTCTTCTTAATTCTTATGTCAGGCTCGGATTCCAAACCTTTTTTTTCTCCCTGTCTTTTCACTCTTTCATGCCTTCTCTTTCTTATTCAGCATAGGTACACCATGGCCCATCATTTCAGCAACTTTCTTGCCAATATCATGAGCTATTGCCCTGTTTTTCCTTCTGTTACATCCAGCTTGGATCGATGTTCCTGCCTTCTCTGCACTTGTAGACTGCTGGGTGCTGCTAGGAAAAACCATAGTCTTGCAGGTTGGTGCCACTGCATATTCATGGCCTCTAACCTCAGCTGGGCCTTCACTGCTGCCCCACATTCTCTCTGCTCCTGGTCAGTTCTTCTTCCCATTCTTAGAGTGGCTGTTTTAGAGCTTTCCCACACTCTTCCCCAGATACCCACTCCACCCCTTTTTCCTCACTTTCAGCTGGTGTGCTCACTACCTATTTTATAAAGAAAATAGAAGCCATTGCACAGAATCTCCTCTACTTCCTTCCACTATCGCAGCAAACTTATCTCCATCCCACCTGTCATTACCTCCTGTCACACTGGAATTTGTATCCTTCCTGCTCTCAAACTAATCTTACCACCTGGGCCCAGCTTTTGCTCAGGGATCTCTCTCCATCCATTATTCCTTCTCTTGAGTCTTCAGCCTTTCCCTTTATTGGTTTTGCTCCATCAGCTTAAAAATAATACTCTGATTTCTCCCATTTATACAAAAAAAAACAAACTTCTCAACCTTCCCTCTACTCTCTCCTGTAGCAGGCACGGTGTCCTCTCCTTTTAACAGCCAGATTTCTTCAGTTCTCTGTTGTTACTGTCTCTACTGCTGCGCCTTCCACTCCTTCCTAAGTGTTAATGCTCCATAAGCAGCCTCACTACTGCAGTGAGGTTACTCTCCCAAGCCTTGTGCTGCCGTGGGATATTGGTCCCCTCAGCCCTCAGAATGGTTGAGTGGGACCTGGGCCCATTAGAGCCTCCAGCAAGCAGACTCATTTGGTTCTCCAAATCCCTTCCAGTTTACCTCTCATATGACTTTTTTTTTTATATCATGTGGGAAAGGTGAGAATAATAATGATAATTATAGTAGCTGACATTTACATAATTCTTTGAACAACCTGTAGTATAAATGCTGTTAATTCCTATCTTATAGATGAGAAAACTAAGGCAGAGATTAAATGATTTGTCCAAGTTTGCATAGCAAGTGGTAGAGCCAGAATTCAAACCTAGGCGTTCTGACTCCATCCAGAGTTTATGCTGTTAACCATCAAGTACTACTTTGTATTTCTATCCTCCCTGACTTCAGTCCTGCACTCCTCAGTCAGTACATTTTTTAGCTTGCCATTATCATCCAGTCCCAGCTTACCTCTCCTAGCTTCCATCTCCAGCACCCCCTCCGTTACCACTTAGCCTTGGCATGTATTATTCCCTTTCCCTTAACTTGCTTCATCAGCCATACAGCGACTGTCCAAATTTAAGTAACGCTAATACTTTGCCACGTATACTTCATATTTTTTTTCTTTTAATTAAGAAATAAAATTTCTGACATAGTTGGAAACAGTATTTTACCACTCCCAGCCCATTCCCCTCACTCATCAGTGGTAACCACTATTCTGAAATTAGTGTGTATCATAATCATTTATGTTTTTATGGTTTTACTACATATATGTATCCATAAAGTAGATATATATAAAAGCATTTCATGTATTTAAAATTTATTCTATCATTGTATCTTCGTACCTTGAATTTTTACTCATAAGGCTGTCATTGAACAGGATTTCTCCAAATTAATAGATGTATGCCTACTTCATATTAATTCCTATGTAGTGTTTCATTGTGAGAATATGCTTTATTTATTTGTTCCTCTATTAAGAGATGTTTAGGTAATTCTTGCCTCCCATTTTTCCCCCTATTTTTCAAACAGTGCTATGATAAATATCGATATACAGTCTCTGTGTGTACGCGTTTGTGAGTTTCTAAGGTATATACCTACGAATAGCATTGTTGGGTCATAGGATTGATTATATGTATCTTTAAATTTACTCAGTTTTGCCAGAATACTCTCCAAATTGGTTCTACAAGTTATATTCCCTCTAGCAGCATTCCTGTTTCTCTTCATCCTCACTAACATTTGGTGTATATCTCAGATTTTCTTTCCTTTTGCCAAACTGATGGATGTACAATAGTATCTTATTTTGATTTGCATTCTGTTGGTTGTTGTTGGTTGTTGGTGAAGTTAAGAACTTTTCTTATGTTTATTGATTGTATTTCTTCTATGAAACATCTGTTCATCTCATTTGCCCATTTTCTGTTGGTTTGTCTTCTTGTTGCTTTGTAGGCAGGACTCATTGAATGAAAGTTGCCTCCACCCCAATTTTTTTGTCTTTCCTTCCTTAACTTATGCTTTTGAAGCCTGATGCTTGCTTATGCCATTCGTGTTTTAATACATCATAACTTTCTTACGACAGTTCTACCTTTGCTTATTAAAGTCCTACTATTCTTAGTCATTATTTCATTTATTTATGTATGTATGTATGTATTCGTTCTTTCATCCATTCAGCAAACATACCAGTGACTAAGACCCTAGTGCCTGTCTTGTGGCACTTAGAGTCAGATGAAATGCCACTTTATCCATAAAGCCCTTCCTCGTCCCAGTAACTGAAAGTAATACCTTTCTCTCCTCACTCCCAGGGATGCAATTTTAGTTTTAAATGTTTCTCCATGATTTTGTTCTTTATTTTATTTTTTAATTTTTTTATTTTATTTTATTTTTTTTATGTGTGTGTGTGAGGAAGATTGGCCCTGAGCTAACATCTGCCAATCCTCCTCTTTTTTTGCTGAGGAAGACTGGCCCTGGGCTAACATCCATGCCCCTCTTCCTCTACTTTATATGGGACGCCGCCACAGCATGGCTTGACAAATGGTGCGTCGGTGCGCGCCCGGGATCCGAACTGGCAAATCCCGGGCCACCACAGCAGAGCACGCGCACCTAACCGCTTGCACCACTGGGCTGGCCCCCAGGATTTTGTTCTTTCCAAGCTAGTTTTTAAGGTCCTTGAAGTGGAGACTGCTAATTACATGGAAATGTTTCGTATATTATAGTGGGATGTCTGTTGTATTAGGAGATATTTTAAATTGCTTACTTTAACCAGATTTCTAAAATTTTTGTTTTAATAATAGTCACTTGGGTGTTTTCTATTTGTCATAGACTGCTAAGTGCTTTACTTGCATTATCTCATTTAATACCACAATCCTGTGAGATGTACTGTTTTCATCCTCATTTTACAAATTTAGAAAGAGGTCTTTGGAAAGGCCCAAAACACATAGTTACTTAAGTGTAAAGCTAAGATTTGAACTCTGATTCTGATATTAAAGCCTGTGCTTTTAAACATTATTCTGTATTGTGTTTGGTATTGCAATTATCAGTAGAGTAACCTTGACCTTTTGTCGTGTTTTTATCAGAGATCCCTCTATTTTGGACAGTTTAGATTTGAATGAAGATGAACGGGAAGTACTCATTAACAATATTAATAGGCGTTTGACCCCACAGGCTGTCAAAATTCGAGCAGGTAATGATTTTTTTAAATAATGTTTAAAATATTTTGCATGTACCAAAAAGCTGTTAAATAGTGTGCCTTACCAAAGAGTATGTTGCCACATCAACATCTATACATTTTTCTAGATCTTTTGTTGTTGTTGTTGGTGTTGTTGTTTTTTTGTGAGGAAGATCAGCCCTGAGCTAACATCCGTGCTAATCCTCCTCTTTTTGCTGAGGAAGACTGGCCCTGAGCTAACATCTATTGCCAATCCTCCTTTTTTTTCCCTTCTTCTCCCAAAGCCCCAGTAGATAGTTGTATGTCATAGTTGCACACCCTGCTAGTTGCTGTACGTGGGACGCCGCCTCAGCATGGCCAGAGAAGCAGTGCGTCGCTGCGCGCCCGGGATCCGCTAGTAGTGGAGCGCGTGCACTTAGCTGCTAAGCCACGGGGCTGGCCCCTATAAATTTTTCTAAATGTTTGTTTTTGATAACAGGAAAAGTTTAAGAAATTATGTTTGCTTCTACTGAATCATCATGAAATGTGTATATTGACACAAGTGAAAACTGTCATGAGTTAGCTAACCTTAAGTTAGCCTTTTTTTTTAAATGAGGGGATTTATTTTGTTTTAGTAGATACTTGAAAATATTCTAACAGTACAGTAATATCCTCCCATGTCTCGGGATTAACAGCTGTTAATAGTTTGCCATATTTCAGACATTTTTCCTATACACATATGCTGTATAGGAATGTCTGCTGTTTACATTCAGATATAAACTTTTTTCTTTCTTACAGAGATGGGATAATACTATGCAAAATTTTCTCCAACTAGGTTTTTCCACTTGGTGTGTCATGGCTGCCCTTCCATGTAGAACATAGGTATCTTTCGTTCTTTAAAATGTCTAGGTAATAGTCCACACAATGATAAACCTTAACATAAACCAGTCCCCTCTTGAAGAACACTTAGGTTGTACCAATTTTTTCATTATTTCAAAAAAAACTGCAAATTAACACCATTATACATACACACTTACCCATTTATGCAAGTGTTCTGTAAGGCAAATTCCTAAACGTAGAACTACTGGGTTGAAGGGTATGTAATTTCTAAACTGTTAAACAATTTGCAATTATTGTTTCATTCAGTCTTCATAACACCCCTTCTCTCCATCTTATAAATAAGGAACTGAAGCACAGAGAGGTTGGAATCATGAATTTAACCCAGGCATAGCCATGAATTCATAGTGTGTGTTAATTGTCTCTGTCGTTTATAGTTTTATCACTCGGGCTTGATGAGGATGAGGAGATACAATTTCACTGCATATTCAGATATTTTTAATTATGAAAGTTAATAGCTGGGATTAGTTTCTAATTGAAAGGATGATGAAAGCTTTCATAAGTATTTGAATACTAGTGTACCTGCCATATTTCTGATTTCTTTTAAGCCTTTAAATATTTTTTTGCATTTTTTGGTATAAGCATTTGAATTTGTATAATTTTAGATATTGAAGTGGCTTGTTACGGTTATGAAGGCATTGATGCCGTAAAAGAAGCCCTGAGAGCAGGTTTGAATTGTTCTACAGAAACCATGCCCATCAAGGTAAGTAGTCAGTTTTCTCCCTCCCTGCTGAATTATCCACCTCAAGCAAATCAGATTTTTTTTATGGTCATGTTTCTTAACAAGTGTTATGAAAAGTGGTTTTTGTTGGTATTTCTAGGGGGTGTTTATGAGCATGTGTAGGCTTTTAGTTGTAGTTACCGCTACTGTCACAGTGAATAGGGATTCCTGTTGGTATTTAGTGCCAGAGGGCTAGCTATGCTAAACCTCCTTTACAATAAAGAGTTACTATGCCCATAATGCTCATAGAATCTTGAAAAGGGCAACATATTCTCTCATAGTCACACACAACTTTTAGGAGTTTTGGTCTGAATCTTTAATTAGCGATAAAATTAACAAGATGGTTGTCATTCAGAATTTCTTAGAAGAATTTCTTCTATCAGTTTAGTTTAGAACCAAATAGGAATTTTTGTGTTTTAGAGACAAATTACCCATTATGCTGATGATTGCTATAGTTAGTTTTTCCATGGAAGATACCCAGAAGTCAAAATTCTTCATGTTCAGGATTGCAGTGGACTGTTAATATTTATTTATTTTTATTTTATTTTATTTTTTTTGTGAGGAAGATAAGCCCTCAGCTAACATCTGCCAATCCTCCTCTTTTTGCTGAGGAAGACTGGCTCTGGGCTAACATCCATGCCCATCTTCCTCTACTTTATATGGGACGCCCCCACAGCATGGCTTGACAAGCGGTGCATCGGTGCGCACCCGGAATCCAAACCCAGTCCACCAGCAGTGGAGCGCACACACTTAACTGCTACGCCACCGGGCCAGCCCCTGCAGTAGACTGTTTGTACTACTGCATTAGATCACTATATCAGTTAGCTTTTGCTACATTAAAAAAACCACCCCAAATTGTTGATCTACAGAAATTGGGAGTTAAGTTTTGGGGTGACTTGTTAAGGCAGCAGATTAACAAAACAGTTCTCGAACATCCTAAAAGTTGTGTGTCTCATATTGAATTTTTGTCTTCTTCCTTAGATTAATCTAATAGCTCCTCCTCGGTATGTGATGACTACAACAACCCTGGAGAGAACAGAAGGTCTCTCTGTCCTCAATCAAGCTATGGCTGTTATCAAAGAAAAGATTGAGGAAAAGAGGGGTGTCTTCAATGTTCAAATGGAGGTGAGATGAATACTGGTTTTGCCTTATTTTTGAAGTTTTTAAGAAATTTATGTCATCTGAATGATTTGCATTCTAAAATACCTAATGACTGCCTTTTAAAACATGAGATACATTTAGGATTATAACTCTGGTAAGCGTAAAATAATCATTGACTCAGAGGATTCCAAAAAGAGCTTTTTATACATAAATAAGAACTATCGTGGGATGGTTATTCAAGACTATGGTCACTGATGGTGTTAGGTTCTTTACCCCTCCAGGGGAAAAAAAATAGGCAATGAAAATGAGTGATGAGTTAGTGTCAGAATTTAATATGGAATGCTTAAAATTTGATCTCAGAATTAGAAACAAGAGTAGTCTCCTGTATTTTCCTCATCTCAACAAGAATGAAACCTAATTTTCATACATATGGGTGTGTGTATATGATGATCTTTCTGTGGAAAGGAATAGTAAGTAATTTATTTTGAACCCAGAAGAGACATTTTTACAGGACATCTTTTTGTGGGTTTGAAAGATATAGCCACTGAGATTATTTTTATATATTTTCAGTTTTAGCTTATAAAAATGACAGGAGATAGGGGACCAGCCCAGTGGTATAGCCGTTAAGTTCACGCACTCCACTTCGGCAGCCCGGGGTTCGCAGGTTCGGATCCTGGGCATGGACCAATGCACCGCTTGTCAAGCCATGCTGTGGTGGCATCTCATATAAAGTGGAGGAAGGTGGGCACGGATGTTAGCCCAGGGCCAGTCT